TCAGACAGCGAGAGCAAAGATGACTCTGAAGATAATGATAGAAAGGACGACGAATAATTTTTCTTTTGAAACATAATGTTGTTTTCATTTAATATAATTTCATTTTCAAATAATTTTTTTTCATGTGAAGAACAAATATGTAGATTGAAGTTCAGGATACAGAACCCATACTATACCCAAAACATTCAACAAATTGAATGTACATTCTTTATATATTTTTCAGACGCCAGTATTATGATAAGCAGTCCCATAAGCCCCAGGGAAGAATTTCAATTCGATTTATTGTGAGTTTCGATCATGAGCAATAATCCCTGTACGATTCCTCTTGATCATCCTGCGAGTATCTTGTTGTCATTTCTGTTCATCATCCTTTTAAAGCCCTGTTTTTCAAATTAAAATCACACAAAACAATTTCTTGGTACTAAACCTCTGTAATTTGCGTCTTCAAATATCCCCATCACTCCCAGGAAGTTTTTCTTTGACCCGGTTTCATGTGAAGTGAGATTATGAGACTTCCCGATTATCTAATTCGCTTTCGGTGAACCTCTGGCCTGAAGTGCGGGGCGCCGCGCCGGACCGAGGCACGCGCGAGTTTGCCCGATTATTACAACGTATGCTCACATTGAATTCGTATGCAAATAGCAGCCAGTTATAAAGAATATCCTAGTTTATCGGTCTAGAGATTTGCATACGAACTTGAATCATCGATTATTTGAAAGATGTCTAGTCAATTGATGTTCGAATAAGTCGAGCTCCCCTCTCCGGAATCGTATGCAAATGTCGGGAAACTGATTAATGGGTCAGAATTCATTGTTTTGCCAAAGGGCATACATTCTTCGATCATCGACTATAACACTGAAAAATTGCCACTTCTGGTTCGTATGCCGCCCTTGGGGAGTGACCTAGGCGTATGCAAACCGGCAAGCGCCCCAATTTTCGTGAGATAAGATCATTGCACTTCATTGCCGAGCTTCTTCTTAAACAAAATTTTGAACTTTTTTCCAACCGAAAGGTGAGGTCAGGGCCGGGGCAAGGACTGGGTTGCGACTTTCCGAGGCACTCCTTCCTGTTAACTTGGACTAAGTGAGTGGGTCCCTTAAATGGCATACCGACTTAGAACATCGATAAACCCTGTGTCGCGGGCCAACAGCCTATTCATGTCCAACTGAAAATCATCCGGAAGAATATGAACTTCATCGATATGAAAAAATATTACGATACTTACGAAGAATGTATCAGAGAATCGAAAAATTGCGATAAAATAGCAATTTGGGATGGGTCAACTTGCCTCGGTCGTACGCCACTGGTTGTAGCCAGAAACGTTTATTTTACATAACTCAGTAGGGCGTTCACTGTATAGTATCTACACTTCCCGCAAAATATGATGATGATACGTCAATTAGTTTCAAAGTACTAGGGACATTAGGCAAAGGTTGCCTAGTTTGAACCTCTTCAATATGCCGCTTTGCAAACTGAAAAAAATGTAGTCGTTCCTGATATATTTTGAAAAAAACTGAAAATAACCGATTTTGTTGTTATTCATTTTCCTATTCAATATTAGAGGCGATTTGAAATTCTACATAAACGTGTATTTAATCATGACAATGAAACTGGGTTTATCAAAAATATCTATTTTGACTATTTTTGAGGTTTTTCCCTTCGGGCGCCATTTTTGTATTTCACACCATTGAATAGAGATGAAAATTCTCTTCAGAGCCATGTATACCATATTGACATTATGACATGAAGCAGAGCCAAAAAACAGTCAACACCATTTTTCCGGGTTATCACCGCGTTAAATTGAAGCCCTATACTTTCAAATTACAATTAATCAATCGTCATGACAACAGTATTGATACTTCTTCATTAGTAGTGTCACAGATGATTGATTATTCCAATATTATTATCAAAATCATATATTAGATACATGACAGCTCTTGACAAAACCAAAATATGACCTGACAATGAATAACCTCGCTGTTGTCGTAGTTTCGAAATGTCAAATTCAAAGGCTGTGAAATTTAACTTACTAAGTAGAAAATGAGAAGTGCACTTGTTACAAGTCATATTTTTGTTACATTATAGACTGTATCATTTACTTAAGGCCAAATTTGCAATGACAATTTATCACTCCATATCGCAATATTTCACCTTGTAATTTCCCAGCACGATTATTCAACCTCTTTTGGCTGTATTCAATATAATCGGTGGTGACTAGTCAATTTGATCATCTAGTATATTTTTCCCTGCTCTCTGTTCCTCTGTGAAGCATCTGAGCAGTTCAGTTACCCTGACTACGAAATAAGTGAGTTGCTCTGGTTACCAGTGTTCCTAGACCTATTGAAGACAATTATAACAGCAGTGACATACCTTTGGTTGATGTGCGGGCTTGTACGTGGCTGGTGGAAGAGGTTGAATTAATCCCCTACAATCAGGGTATTTTGTCCCAAAACCAGAGACCAAAATATACTTCACGTGAAGAAGGCAACTGATCCCACTAACAGTGGATTTGTTTCAAACTATACAAATATAAGAAACCTCCTTTCACAAACCGTTCCAACCAGATCTCGATTATTTATAGCAACACAATTGAACAGCAATATGGTCGCTAGGTAGCCTCTCTAGGAACCAGGAAACCAGAGCAACTCACTTATTTCGTAGTCAGGGTAACTGAACTGCTCAGATGCTTCACAGAGGAACAGAGAGCAGGGAAAAATATACTAGATGATCAAATTGACTAGTCACCACCGATTATATTGAATACAGCCAAAAGAGGTTGAATAATCGTGCTGGGAAATTACAAGGTGAAATATTGCGATATGGAGTGATAAATTGTCAAGCCGGTAGCCTCATGAACTGAAGTACGTATTGCGCAACCAACTTTAGGTAGTAGTGTATCCCATTTCTTGTGATTGTCATTGATGTAACAAGATATCATGGTCTTAAGGACCTGATTAACCCTTTCTACAGGGTTTGCCTGGGCATGATATAAAGGAGTATAGCGAATATTCACTTTATACTGTTGACAAAGATTACGAAACAAATTTGAACGGAACTGTACACCATTATCACATATTAGGTACTGTGGACAAGAAAACATTAGAAAAACATGTTCTTCCGTCATTCGCGTAACGGCAGCAGCAGTTGCATCTCTAAGAGGAAAAAATAATGAAAATTTACTCAACGTGTCAGTCACTACATAAACAAACTTATTCCCTTGAGTGGATCGAGGAAGTGGGCCGAAAAGATCTACACTAATCATTTGCCATGGTAAAGTAACTTCGGGATGTTTTCCCATATATCCAGACGGAGGTTTCAGAATTGGCTTCTGTGCTAAACAAACAGGACATTTCCTTACATATGCAGCAACATCCGCACGCATCTTAGGCCAATAGTACAAGTTTTTAATGCGTTCGAATGTCTTGAAAATTCCGGAATGACAAGCTACTGTACTATCATGACAGGAGCTGATGATCTTTTTACGGTCATACTTAGGAACAACCTCCTTCCAAAAATCGTTTTGGTGACGAAGCACCGGATATTGACATGAAACATACTTATAAAGCTTTTGAAATTGAATTGTTGAAGACGTACTGCCCAACGAGCCAAACGACCGGTTGGTTCTTTCAATTTATGTAACCATACCAATGAATGATGATCAGTTATAACCGTGAATTTGTATCCCTCTAAATATGGACGAAGTTTTTCGATGGTGTACAACACCGCGAGACACTCCCTCTCTGTAGTACTAAAATTTCGCTCTTGTCGCGTGAGCGAACGACTAATATAACAGATAACATGTTCACCGTCGTCAAATTCTTGGGATAAAACTCCTCCAATTCCGAATGCAGACGCGTCAGTTTGTACTTTAAACGGTCGAGAAAAGTCAGGACAAGTTAGAATAGGCGCAGAGACCAGTGCACTTTTTATATTCAAGAAAGATTGGTGGCATTCATCTGTCCATTCCCACTTTTTATTTTTAGATAAAAGAGCAGTCATCGGTGCTACAAGAGTTGAAAAGTTTGGAATGAAGCGGCGATACCAGGATGCAATGCCAATAACGCGTCGGATATCGTTCACACTTTTCGGAGGTGGAATATTCAATATAGCTGACACTTTCTCTGGATCAACATGCAATCCTTGACTATCGACGACATACCCTAGGTAGCGCAATTCAGGCCTACAAAACATACACTTAGTCTGTGACACTGCCAAACCAGCCTTCCTGAATCTTTCAAAAACTTCCGTTATTATTTTAATATGATCTTCAAAATTATCATTAACAATTATCACATCATCCAAATAAACCTGGTTCATCGTTGTTGTATTTGGAAGCCACAGGGTGTTCGCTGTTGTTGAGCTGCTACCCTGCGGAGTCATCGTCTGGATCTACCTGTATAAATACTTAGTGAATGAGTAACCTGTCTGCAATTTGGTAAGCTCGTTCCGATTACGCTACCTACGTGAAAACTACCACCAAACTCCTGTGAAGATTTTACCACTGCACTGCAAAATCTTATATTTGACGTAACCTTCAATAATATTCAACTTACATTCAAAAATCAGGTTTTCAATACATTTGTACACCACAGTGATCACCTCGGTATCTTTTTGTTTGGCAATGAATAACATTTTAGTATTACCTTTTGGATATTTTGACCCTTACTGTTACGTAACATTGTCCATTATTAACTTGTGAATTATTAGATTGTCGCAGTTTTAGTAAATGATACAGACAACTCTTGGATCATAATTTCACCCTGCCAACCGTACTCACCCCAGTGTCCCACTGAGTTAGTCAGTGTCTAATTTCCACTACATATAATTGGGCACTTTGAACACTATTTTTGTAACCGAGAATCTTGCTCGATCCTGCAAATCTTTGGATTGAGGGTATTCAGCCTAAACCAGTGTTTGTGTAAAACACCTATTAATTATTAAATGGTTACACACTCTTTGCGATTGCACATTTCCACATCATCCTCAATTGAAGCACTTACAGAATGAATAAACTCTTCTACTTTGGTCTGCAACCCGAACACCTCGAACGAGGCATGCACTAGTTTGTAGGAACACATGATGGGCTGGTAGTTGGACCTCCAACCGTCCACCAGAGGGCCCCTATGCGTCTTTTTCGACTGGAAAAATCGCGGGTCCTCCTCTTCTTTGTAGTGTTTGGCGGACACCTCATCGTACGCTATGTCCAGGTGGTCGGTGATCCTTTCGGCCAATTGCTCCGGAGTTGAACCGAGACACTGGAAAATCGCAGTAATGGGGGTTTATAACTACTATCTAGACCGCTATATGTCTCAGCATCCCGAAAATCTCATCCAAATTGATCGCCTGAAAAAGCTACTCAATGCGCAATTCGTGACAGGGACTAATGTTTCTTGGTGTTTTTTAAACATGAACAAGAGCGAGCAAGATACACAAATTTGCCCAAATTTTTTAATCCTTGTCGGATTTTTGTGAAATTTAGATCAAATCGTAGATTCATGTTCCGGAATGTTAGCATAAATATTAGTTTTCCTGGAAAGCTAATGACTTGATCATCATACAGGGAAAAACCAAAGTAACTCTTTCACCCTATACTTCTCAACGCCCTGTGGCAAAACTGCGTGATTGAACATTGCTTCATTATGCTTCGGATTGAAGTGTGATCCCTTCTTAACACAAACGTTTTTGATTCACGTCAATATCTAATTTTTAAAAGAAGATGCGAGTGTTTCAAGGAAGTATGGTGTTTTTCAACTTTTTTTACCAATAATCAGAACTTACATGAACTGATTGATTAACAACTTCAAGGATTAATATCACCTTCAAGGATTAATATCACATATTTCTACCTAGTGCACAGAGACACTTACCGGAAAATCAATTACAAAAAACAAACAAGAAGCAGACCTGCAATAACGAGTATGCTCTCCTCGATATTGTATTCAACCGCAGTGGCATCGAATTGATCAAATTACTCAAGTGGCCTTGAAGAATTGTCTAGAATCCTTCTTGAAGGGCGAATCGTAGCTCTTGAAGAGTATCTGACAAGGCTCGAAGGCGATTGAGCCTCTAGAGGTCACCCCTAAGATAGGTAGAATTATTGTTATTGAAAATTAAAATAATTCAGACTTTCTTGAAACACTTGTATCTTCTCCCAAAAAAGAGATATTGACTTTGTTCAAGAACCGTTGTATGAAGAAAAAAAAAAGAGGATCACACTTCAATTCAAAACATGATGAAGCAGAAGGTTAGAGAATGGTTTTGAATTATTGTAAATAAAAATTTTAAAAATCCATACTCTCTTGAAACACTTGTACCTTCCTTTAAAAAGTGGTTATCGACGTGAATAAAAAACCATCATGTAGAGAAGAGATAACTCTTCAATCTGAAACATAATGAAGCTAAGTTAAACTAGAGTTATAGAATAGAATAGAATAAAATAGAATAGATGTTTATTTAGCTCATTAGCTATTACATAACATATAATTTACAATAAATACTATTTTAAGAACATACAATGTTATTGATTATTGAAGTACATTTGCCTTAATCTAGTTCTGAATAATTTGACATTTGGTGATGTTTTTACTATTATTGGTAAGCCATTATACACCTTCAAACCATCGATAAATAGTGTTTTCTCCATAGCACTAGTCTTGAACTTTTGTATTTGGTGATGATCCGCAGATCTCAGATTATATTCTACCAACTCAGATCTTTTAACAAGATAATCTCTTAAATATACAGGAGCTTGCTTATTTACAATCTTATATAATAACACTAAGTATGACTCGGTAATAAGTTGACGAACATTCAAGAAATTCAGAGTTTCTAACATAGAGATTATCGGAGTATATCTATATTGCATTTCAGAATAACTCTCATTGCTTTGTTTTGGAGTAATTGCAGCCGATGAATATGTACATCTGAACAAGAAATAAGTATTGACATACAATAATTGAAATGTGGAAATATAATTGTATTGTACACAATTTTTCTGCACCATAAGGAAAGGTTTCTACAAACTCTATAGAAATACCCGACTTTTTTGCCAATTTTTTTACATAGATAATCAATATGTTTGGAAAAATTCAGTTGAGGGTCAAAAATGATACCAAGATATTTTATTTCATTTACATAACTAATTATAGTATTATCTATTTCAATAACAAGGTTACATTGATCAAATTTAGCCACATTACTCTTACTACCTAGGATCAAACATTTAGTTTTCATATTATTCAATTTGAGTTTATTTGCCATTAGCCATTCATTTAAAATGCACAATTCATTATTCATCACTTGAACTATTTCTTCAAAGTTTTTTCCAGATACAGAAATCAATGTGTCGTCCGCAAAGAGGTTAACGAATGACTGTTGTAAATACAGATTTATATCATTGATACTACTCTCAGAAACTTTAAAACTTGCCAAAGCACAAAATCTGCAAGCCAACATCAAAAACAATAATTTAATAGTGGAAAGTCAACTGTTCACTTACGACGACCTCCTAAACATTCCGATCAGCTCCAGAAACTACCGAAAGAAAAAATTTACAGGAAAAGAAGAGGATATAAAACCAACGAACCAAAGGAAAAATTCAACAAGAGCTACATCAAAAAGTGGACATTCCTGATCTCTTTCTTCTTTTGATTGAACTGTTAATAGTAACTTAAATTATCTCTAGCTCTATCTCTATTTTTTTTTTATATATTATATCATTTCCCATTTCAATAAAAATACACATTATCATACTTACCTATATTTCATCAAAGATTATTAAACAAAAATAAAGTAAATATATAACATAAAATGGATGAATATATACGAGACTACCAAAACAATTCTATAAAAACGAAGTTTTTGAATAATATCACAGAAATTATTACTGATGATGATCATAAAAAAGGATTTTCAATCATACATATCAATATACGTAGTGTAGAAAAAAATCTTGACGAATTTGAAGCCTATATCAGCCAACTCCCCAGCTCTCCTGACTGTATAGTGTTATCTGAAACAAGGAAATTAATCGATCCAAATGACTACACCCTAAATGGATATAATGTTTTCTATAATTATGGAAAAATTAACCAAAATGACGGATCACTAGTCTATCTAAAGGACGATATACTTGTACCCAGTTACAAAAAAGTAGAATTGAATGGTAAACCTTTAACTTGTATCATTAATGAAATACTACAGGCCGGAAAAATTCCATCAATTTTCAAGATTACTCTCATAAAACCTCTACATAAATCAGGAGACAGATCTCAGGTTACGAATTATCGCCCAATCAGTCTAATAACAAATTTCGCAAAAATCCTCGAATATGCTATACATGACCGTCTGACTCAATTCCTAGACAAAAACAGTATTCTGTCCGAAAGGCAGTTCGGATTCAAAAAAAAATATGAGCACTCAAGAGGCAATAGTAGAACTACTGACCAAAACATATAGCGGTATTGACAAAAAACGACCTTCAATAACAATTTTCATAGACTTGGCCAAGGCGTTCGATACGGTAAACCATGACTTATTGTTAGATAAACTTCACAGAATTGGTATAAGAGGCAAAGTAAATGATCTTTTCAAGAGCTATCTGAGTGATAGGATTCAGTATGTTAAAATCAATGATACTCTCAGTGAACCTAGAAAAATACGTCATGGTGTGCCACAGGGAACAGTCCTTGGCCCAGTATTATTCTCCATATATATGAACGAACTTCTCACCCTAGAATCAGCAGGGACAGTAATATCTTTCGCCGATGATACTGCTATCTATTATGAAGCAAGTTCCTGGTTGGACCTGAAAGAAAAAATAGAAAATGATCTAAGAAAACTTTTCTGCTGGTTTGATCAAAACCTATTGACAGTAAATTATTCTAAAACGACTTTCTTACCTTTTACTTCCTACCAAAATAACTTACCAGATTTCAAATCGCTAAAGGTTCTAGATAAGGAGGGACATTTCATAGAAATAGCATCATCAAAAAAAGTCAAATATCTGGGGATTATAATGGATAGTCATTTAAGGTGGGATGAACACATACAAATTACTATGCAGAAATTGAGAGGACTTATTTTCAAATTCAAAAAACTGAAAATGATATTAGATGTCAGGGAACTGAAGGCATTGTACTACGCATTAGTAGAAAGTATTTTGCAATACGGGATTATTGCCTGGGGAACTTGTAACAAAACACTGTACCTCAATATAGAACGTGTACAGAAGAGAATATTGAAAATAATATATGGGGTTGACTATAAATTCCCAACTGAGCGACTGTACAATATGTCAAAAATATGTGACATTAAACAGTTGTATGCAAAAACCCTTGGCATATTTGTGTTCAAAAATATTTCTAAATTTGAAAAATTTGATAATAAAAAAAATACCAGAATGGAAAATTATTTCCTAAAAGTACCAAGAGTTTCAAAAACAATTGGCCAAAAATCCTTTTTGTTCACAGGTCCGAAACTATATAATGCTCTTGATAAAGAGGTAAGAAAAGCAAATTCTATTTATATTTTCAAAAAAAGAATTAAGAAGTGGATATCGAGCAAAAGAAATATCATTCATAATATCCTCGATTAAACCAAATAGGTAATTTTTACGTGAAATTCATCCATTTTATGTCTTTTTTATGTCTTTTTCATTGTTAATATACTATTTATATTATACCCATTTAATGTTGCTCTTTCACTATGTTGTTATTTGAATCATTAATTAAATATGTGAAGAGTCTAGTAGGCTCCACACAAGAAGCGAACAGCTTCTTACGGAGTCACTAAATTCACATTCATATTCATAAGTTCAATAATTTTTTTAACTGGGAGAAAGGTGTAACTTACAAATCTGCCATCGGGCGTCAAAAATCTTTTATTTAACAAAGACTTTAGTGTGAATGTGGAACAAACCTATTTACCATCCCATCCAATTTAGTTTTAGATAAATTTGTACATGTTTATAATGGTGGTGAATAAATTTATTATTATTATTATTATTATATATAAAATGAATAGCAATGGCCCCAGGACGCTTCCTTGCGGAACACCATACAAAGTACCGATTTCAACACTATAATCACCATTGATCTTGGTTTTTTGACATCTGTCGTTGAGATAGTTTTCCAACCACTTCAATACAACTCCTGTTATTCCGTAATTTTTACATTTATATAATAATTTTTGCCTATCTATTGTTTCAAACGCTCTCTTCAGATCTATAAATACACTAATAACGATGTTTCCATCATCTATATCCTTTTTCCACATATTGCATACTAACTGACATGCGGACTCTGTTGAATGATTGCACCTAAATCCCGATTGATTTACATACAGTATATTTTGTTTATTCAAATAGTCACTCAAGTGTTCATGTACTAAGATTTCAATGATTTTTTCAATGACTGGAAGTAAATTTATTGGTCGTAGATCTTCAGGTTTAACTGGTTTACTAATTTTTGGAACTGGTATTATGGTGCTGCATTTCAATACCGATGGCAATACTCCTGTTTGCAGACAGGTATTAATTAAGTTCAATAAGGGATACCCAATAACTGAAAATATATTTTTTATCAACGATACTGTGAGTACTTCATCACCGGTAGCTTTGTTTTTCAAACAATTCACCACTTTATATAGTTTATTTATAGTAATGGTGGGAAACGGATCTATGTTGCCATCTATATCTATTTTTTTTTCAGAAAAACCGTCAATGCTCGGAATACTTTTAGCAATTTCCTCTATACTATCGAGGTAAAACCTATTTAGTACTTCACTAGTATCATTCGAACTAATATCTAATGAGCTAATGTCTGTGTTATTATTAGTGCAGTTAACTAATTGTTTCAAAGTAGACCACATTTGTTGTTGAACCACTTACCATTCCCATAGGGCATTATGAAGTTAAGGGTTGAAAAGTAACTTTCGTTTTTCCCTGAATAATGATCCAGTAATCAGATTTTCTCAGGAACAAATATTCAGGCTAACATTTGGAAACATGAATCTACGATTTGGTCAAAATTTCACCAAAAGCGAACCAGAATTGGAAAAGATGCAGAGCTAACAATTTGGCTAAATTATTTAGTGGCCGGTTTTTTTTTGCCGGTGTATTTGGCAGGTCCTAAATAGACCGGCAGGTAATAGTTGCGTTTTATTAATCCGATTCCGCTACCGGAATCACTTTAATGTGTTGCTTTATTTGCAACTTTTTCGATTCGGGATGCTACCTTTCATTCCGTCTCACTACAAGGAATGACGTGGAATGACTGTTGGCAGTTGTCCGAAAATTAAATTAGACTGACGAAATACGAAACTCTCTGAAATAGAAGACGTTTAGAAAACTTTTTTATCATGAGGTTCAGAAGTTTATGATTCTTTCAAGTAAGACAGGTTTCATATGTTCATTTCCAGATAAAATGAATTCTCTGGATATCAGAGAATTTCTCCAATCTCCACAAACACTGCTTCAAATAGTAGTTGATTCATTTTTTAGATTCTCAACTCTAGTATTAAGATTTTGAAATTATTTGGATTCCTAATATATGAATATAACCTCTATCACCTATAATATGTCAATTCTCTCATGCAAGGTCATGAAGGTTCCCGTTTCATTTGTAAACGGCATTCTGTTCCCACCATCCCTACCAGAATGGGACAAATTTAATAATACGCAACTAGTGACGGATTTTCTGACGTGATTTTACCCAGTATGCCTTTTGGAGGGTATCATTATGTATATATTTTGATGTTCAAAAATGATACATGAAAGTATCTTGCATCAAAGCATGTTTTCAAGGTAGCCGTGCGGACGAAGCGTCAGTAATCTAATCCGCTTTCGCTTGCCGATCGTGGGTCCAATTCCCCGCGACTGCAGACATTTTTCTGATGGCCCAAGAGTGTTTGGGATCACACGTTAAAAGGTAAGGCCCCCGTCATTCCTTGCTTGAATGACGAATAGAACAATTTTATTTGTACTTGGACATGCGCAAACGGTATGCATACCGAGTAGAATATGTATAGAACAAACATAATACTTTTTAAAGGCAGCCTGTTTGAAAACAAGTGAAAATTATAAATACAACTACACCTGATCGTGATTACCTACCTTTTGGGCTCACGCAAACGGTGTGCCTTCGTATTTTCAACTGAGGATATTACTAATATTTTATTTTAGAACACAGGCAGCTTGCCTTTTACTTCAATGCATTAAGAAGACGGGAGGATTCTTTCATGGCCTTATAGCGGTCTAGATAATAGTTTATTTCGGTGGAAAAATCACGGTAATGCCAGGGAATTTAGATTCAATACCGAATATTTTGACAAGGTATTCAGATGGTATTCAGTCAATCGTTCCTTAAAGCGTGTTCAAATGCCAGCGTGTGCACCGACTTTCTAGCTTCATGACCTTGAAACGCGCATTCTGACAAATCGGCCAATAAGATGAGAATATACCCTGTAAGCCTAAAAGTGACAAGCATCTGTGCGCAGTTACCACTTTTGTTTTAACGTTATTGTTACATCTAAGAGTAGGGACTACTGACATAACTATTATACCTAAACTGCGCTATATGTCATATCCCTGCCATCTGAGGAACTTATCCATATCGCACGTCTGGAAACGCTTCTGCTCAATAAGCAGGTCAGCAGAAACTCACAAACTGTCGGTCATGACCTTGGTGCTCGGAAACATAAGTAAGTAATAAGTAAGAGTGAGTATAAGATATATGACAGGTCCTGAATGCGCACGCTCCATTGAAGCCAAGGTCGATCTCGTAAATGACTTATGGCATTAACGGTCTGGTTAATAATTCATGCAGGTGGAACGAACACTATTAGCGAATGCCATTGGTAAAACTGGGTCGCACTAAGTGCATATTTTGTATTCCATTGGTAAAACTGGTGTTGGGTTTTGAATTCCATTGGAAAACTGGTTCACATAGTTTAGAGTTCAGTGCAACAATTCTCGCACGAGTTCTAATAGGTCGTGCGAAGTGTAGTTTTGAAAATGGCGGAACCATTGAATATGCATAGTTTGAACACAAAAATTAAGTGGAAATCTAATCATCATCATCAAGTAGTGATGAAAATTTGGAGGTTTTTAAGAGAATAAAGGAGACTACCCAGAATTCATAATTTTGTTGAGTGTTTTGCACTAATAGCGAATTCCATTCGTAAACCTGGTGGTTATCAATGATGAAGAGGTTCTTATTTAAAAAAAAACTGCTCAGAATCATTTCCATGAAACATCTACTCTGTTTTTAATTTAAGTCGAGAAAGAATTTCCAGGATACGGACAAGTTATAAACAATGACAAACCAATTTATCGGATTTAACCTCCAACAATAACATTTTATCATATTATTTCGTATTCCATTGGGAACGCACCAGTTCACATTTTGGAGAGAACTAACGTAGTGCGGGTGCAAAACTGGTGCAAAACCAGTGCACCACCAGGTTTACGAATGGAATTCGCTATTTGACAAGCACTGACAGTCAGACATAACCACAAATGAATTAGGCGATCTGTCAAGCTATGCGCTGGAAATTATCGTAGTTAATGAGAAATGTTTTGATATGCGGATTTCTTTTGATATCATAAGTAAAAGTCTATAATTTGAAGGGTCACAAAAAAGAAACAATATAATTGCTCTAGTCGCATTATTCTATCGATTTTATTTATGGTGTCAATCAGGTGCTATATTGATTCTAACCTAGGTTGGATTGCCTATTAGATGAAATAGAAGGAACTGACAGAACATGGACATAGGGGGTCATTTCGTATATTCAAACATTTTCTAGTAGGTTTATCATTGAAGATACAAAGAAAACTTCAAATGCATTCGAGGTGTAGCGTTTGTTTGAAGAAATGAGTACCAAAAGAATTGAGTTTTTTTTTTATTTAAAAATATATTGGTTATTGATATTTGGTTCAGCCGTTTTCTAAATATTCGGGGTTGAACATTTTACATTTAGTTATAATTTGATTTTCCCAAATCATAGTTGTCATTATATCTCTTATTCTGATTAGCCCAGAACATTTGTAAGATGTTTCTTCTTTATTTCCTGATATCAGTTAGATGCTTGTCATGTAGGTTCAACTTCTGAGAGTTTTTTTTGTGATAGCTCTCACTTGAGAGTATTCAGAATAAAATAGAAATTTGTGGTTTGGCAACATCCAATGAAAAACAGCATCTGACCAATGAAATCCAGGAGTATAAGTAGACTTCAATTAGCCTATGATTTCCAGTTCACCCCTTGGTTCACTCTGTTGCATGTTGTTCTGGGAAACCATGTATAGCTAAAATTTACCCCACTTGATCATTGAGTGGCTGTTTATGGATATCTCTCTATCTCCTGCCAATTTCAGAAGCCTACCTGAATAATTATATAATGCCTAGGGGTGCATACATAAGGAATGAGTGACAAAAAAAATGTGACAAAATACAATGACACTCAATTTTTTTTTATTTATCTCTTGGAGTTCATAAAAAATCAAGATGGTGGTTGATTTTATCATATTATATTTGAAACTTCTTGATAAGTTCTTGTTAATTTGTAGTTCAACCTGCATGGGGATGTATGTGGTTTTCTAGTAAAATTTCTAATATGTTTCTCTGATTTCAGATAGACAAAGTATTTGTAATTTCTGAGGATATTTTAGATTAAATCTACTTTTAGAAATTTGAATAATTATCCAAAAATATAAGGCACTTACATTTTCTGAACATCCATTGTTATCTTCATATTTAGTTTCAATTGATATGTTGAATCTCGGAATGAAGGAGCACTGTAAAAATTAACACATTCATTAAAGGATGATTTTTCACATTTTATTTACTCACTGTATATTCTGTATTTGTGAATGGATAAAAATTCCATGCCTTTTCAGTCACATAAAATATCTTTGGTATTATAGATTGCACCCAATAGGGAAGACGACTGCAAAAATATCTGGTTTTCACAAAAGGCATTAGTAAATAGGATCAAGTTGACTGTGGATTCCATACTCTCTAGCACTAGCATATCTAAATATCAATTGCAGAATGAGAAGTACATAGTAAATGTTGGTGGCATGAATAGGTATTATAGATTTTCCATTATGGGGAGACTCTCAACCAATGTTGAGAAAATCTTGAGTCTGGTACTTTGACACACTCCACCTACCTTCAAACTGATGATGTCTGTGGAGATGTCTATACATATATGTGATATACAAAATAAATTAAATGAATCCCTGGTTTCAGTATGGCAGGAATAGTTGCTCAAGTAGGTTCATGATGTTTAAAAAATTATACTAGTTGGTTTCACAGTCACAAACCTTGAGAGGTGTATTCGTTTCTCTGTGAATTGCCCTTTACCATGCTTCTCATCAAAACATTCCCTGTTTTCAACAACCTCCACACCTTCACCGTCTCCAGATTGTTCCAAACTATGTCTAGCAATCATATAAAGTTGTCCGATTCGGTACTGCAAAAACAATCATCACGAAGTTAAATCAAATTTTGGGTTTGATAGTTTGATTATTACCTCTTCCACTGTTAAGGGCATACATATTCGGTACTCCTTTGTGAGAACCATTTCTCTTCAGTTTTTGACCTGTATTACCTTTCTAATATCTCCTGTAAATATATCATTAACCGATTAAACTACAGACAGTACTAAATAATCAAATTGTTATCATTTATTGGATAATCGGATAATATTATGTTTTGAGTTTTTCAAAAAATTTTGTTTACAGATGAAACTCCATAGAACACGAATGACTTTTGACTGTTGAATTGAACTAGCGTCTGCGGACAGCCGCAAGTAATAACTCCGTGGTAGGGGAACGTTAGTTAACTTGTGTCGAGTCTAATATAAGGAAGGAATTTTTTTTAACAATCAATCGACCTAGATGAACCTTTTTTCTTGAAGAAGGAGAATTTTTCTTGAGGAAGGAAAATATTGTTTCTGCATAAAAAATGAGAAAACCTAACCTATCTATTTTATGAGTATATCTGTACTTGTTTCGTTGACCTGTGTAAAACTTATTAATGTTTATTAACACCAAATAAAATATTCTATTCTATTCTAACCTAACCTAACCGAACCTCACCTCTGGCCTAAACATAAAAAACCCCTAAATGAACCTATTTTGCATAGAGAATATTTTTTAGAAATCACTTGAGAACAAGAAAAAAATAAAAAAAAAAGATGAGCCACGCACGGATTCGAACCCCGGCCCGCCGGCTTGGCATGCCGATGCTCTGCTGACTTAGCCAACCAGTTGCTTACGAGAAGTAAGATGAAGTCATTCAGTCGGCGCCGCATAACGCCAGTCGCATCTACTGCCCACTATAACGTTCTCCCACCACGGAGTTATTACTTGCGGCCGTCCCGCAGACGCTAATGTTGAATTGACACTTGACTATTGGTTCTTTGTTGTTCTATGCAAATAATATTAACAGGAGTGCCTGCAGGCAGTGCCCGCACTTCATCCAATATTTCGCTTCCAAAGCACAACTGTCAGTTGTGGTCCGGTGTTCAGTCAATGATTTTCCTCATATTCATCCTGTTCCGAGCAATGAACTCAATATAAACAACTCCGAGAGGTAGGTAAATTTTAGCCAATCTACGTTTTGCAAGCCGGAAGACAGTTTTGGTTTTGTAAGCTTTGCGGATTGAGGAGGAAGCATGGGCACCGCCAGTGAAATTTCAGGGGGTGGGGCGTTTTATTTTAATTGGAAGCATTCATTTATTGAAGAAGAAATACAAACAGGACCTCGAAGTCTTAGTGATTACTTTTTCCTAATCCTACCTATAAACTAATAGTTATTTATTTTATACAAGGGAAAAAAGTAGTAGATTTTAGCTCCAGGTTGTGTTGTCTCCCGACGCGTAGCGGAGGGAGACAAAAAACCGTGAGCTAAAATCTAATATTTTTTCCGTGTATAATACACTATTTTTTTCTGTGACAGAAGAAAGGACGAATCAATATTGAGAAGATATTACATTATTTCGAAATCTGAAAATTATCGACGTGAAATTTCAAGTTTTTAACAGTAGGGACACCTGCAGTGGGACTCTGTAACTCAAAGCGAAAGCGAAAGCATGCGTAATCGACTGCTTTTGCCGTTTCGGTACTCTGTATCAATATTCGGATGAGGTCGGAGACGCCGAACGTGAGTTCGTAAGCGAAGCAGAAGCGAAGGATTTTGGTTGCCGCTTTCTGCGATTCTCAAACGATTGAGGTTATAGGTATTGGTTTTTGTTGTTGTTCCTAGTTCAAACTTTGTGTTGATTTGAGAAAAATAATAGATTGATAAATGACGAATGAACCCAAACATGGATAACAAAGCGAGCAAAAACAGAACTTCAGTCAGTGGGACAGATTCCTCAGTTTTACGAACAAAGTCCTAAAGATATTCCAGAGAGATGGAAGTTCCCTTTGGTAGGATTAAGGTAGGGGATGAAAGAACTGAAAGAACGTGAGACGTGAGATAAAAAATATGATAGACAGTGTGATGAAAACATACAGTTCATTTGGTAGTTGAAAAATAAACTGAAAACTGTCATTAGTGCTGTTGAATAGGGTCTGGAATAATTCATATTCATTCGAATTATCCTTCTCTTTTAGATTCCTGATACATCAAAACAGGCAGATATAAGTGTAGCTTCTCCAAAAAATGAAATGTGCCATTACTGAATGTTGTCTCACTGAATCCTTGTTAAGAAAAATATGTCTTTGGTGTGAGTCCATTGAAGAAGACAATAATAGGTAATTGAAGAATCCTACTAATATAATATGCCGATACCTACAACAGTGAAACATAACAGAAAGCCTGGAACGTTCAAATTTGAAAAATTTGCATAATAAGTGCATTGGAAGGAAAAATAATTTGGATAGCAAAAACCTTGGAGACACCCAAGAAGAACTGTGTAATATTACTGTGTACCAATAAGGGAGAATCAAGAGTAAATTCCATGAAACAGGATTAACTGAACATTATTTACTATGTTGAACAAGAACAAGAACGGATTCTACTTTCACTACATTAATAATTCCATCCAAGATTCTAAAGTGAACTGTAAGAAAAAGTGCATCTGTATAAATGCACTGTCAACATATAGCTGCCTTGCAGAAGGCAATTCAAGGAATTATATGTGCTTATCATCTTGTTTAATTTGCGACATAGAGAAGCAAGTTCTGATAGGTATTACATTATAGTATGTGAATAATAATATACTGAGTGTTAGATTATAGAATGATATGTCCATTATAAATATAAGCAGTTACATATCTTACAATATTATTGTTATTCTCAGATCATTTGCCTTTACTAGTTGCATATAAATAGAAAGCTATACCTGAGATATACCTAGTGAGAATATAAATACCAATTTTTTATATAAACAAAGTAAGGTACATATTTTCCAATGAGCTGCAAGTGCTTTATTTCTGATTGAAACCAAAAATTGACAATACAATAATTCGTAAATGCCGCTTTTTTGATCCAATGGGATGTTTCCTTTGAATAAATGGGATCCGCAACACTGTTGCCAAATTTAACTCCACCAACTTCGTTCTATTTCGTACGAAATCGTATGACGATAGCGAAAGCATAACGAACTACATATAGAGTACCGGAAAGCGAAGTCGTATACTTCGCTTCGTTTCGCTTTCGCTACGCTTTCGCTATGCGACACAAGTTACAGAGTCCCACTGCTGCGCTTTATAGGCATCTTTATCATTCTTTTGAAGTAATCAAATATCTGATGTCACTTCTGTCAGTTCAATTCTGTGATTTGATTTTAAAAAATTGCGAATTCAGTTCAGTAGTTGTTTATTAGTAATATACGAAACCGCGAAGTCGAATGGAAGATAAAAGGACTTTCAGTTCTTTCTCGGAGACGGTATTATTGACTCATTTTTCGGTACTATAGCACAAGAAAAGCCATTAACAGAGTATATTTATGTGATATATATATATATATATATATATATATAGGTGTAAACGGTATATTGTTGAGCCCGTCATATGAACGGGGCGCTCTTGAGCCCACCCTTTCCTGTGTAGTTAGAAGAGTATATATCAGGACAATTATATCTTCTCATCTTTGTCTCTCATGGGACACTTAGAGGGGAAATGATTTCAAACATTTAAATATTTTTATATATTTTTCGCACGTTGTTGAGCCATTTATACTTTCACTACGTAGTGGAGCCCAATTATATACGAATTTATATGAACCGTTCCTAGTGTGTCCCGACAGTGTTGCCATGTTTTGTTGCTATTAATACATATGAGTATTATATAAACCGTACTCTAATGAGCCTCAGAGGTAAAATCATGGTCGCAATGATAGGACAGGAATTGCGGAAATGCAAATACGTGAGTTGATATTGTATATTATTTTGCTAGCATAATCTTCGGATATATTTTTCTCAATTCTAGAGTTGAGTAAAGAAGAATGGAATTGAAGACCAAGTTGGTGTCCGTATGCAACTGGTTGGAAATATGTAGTGAGAATAAATTAGTTAGGTAAATGATGTATACTTTCAGGGTTGACCCCTGCTTATCAACAATACATATCTAATCAACGGCTCATTTCATCAACACCCTACTCATCAACGACTCAACTTATCAAGGACCTAACTCATCAACACACCCATTTAATCAGCACCCACCTCGTCAACAATCCATTTCATCAACTTCCTATAACTTGAACTAAATAACGAACCACACTCATTGACCCAACTGACCAGCTCAACCGTTTCATCACCTCCAATTACCTAATAACGTTCAAAGTGATACCCCATTTTTATATCATATTTAATAACCATCTATAACAATTACATCAGATCATTCACAGCCAGAAATTCTTACCTACAATTTCCGTTTGTTTTGTAAGTGTCTCAATATTCAAAAGGTATAGAGGAGACTCCAGACTGATTTATGTGATATTCGTCAAAAAATTTACGTTAATACTGATGTAAAAGGATAACAGTGGTTCGCAGACGGTGTGGAAGATAATAATTCAATAATAATTGGCTTCAGAAAATCTTCGAGTAAACCAAGGAAAAAAGATGAACATGAAAAGTGAAAAATAGTTCTGCCACCTTAACCCATATAATTGGGCCGTTGGTACCCAGCAAACATCGAAAGGCGGTAGAAAGCCGGGCCCATGGCGAGAACGGCGGGCAAATGTCGATGCCGGCATGCCTCGAAAGGCCCTCCATATAATTTCGAAGGATTATATGACGGAGGCAGAATGTACACATACTTATGTTGGGCCTCTGTTTCCCAGCCGCTAGTCTTTCGCTGTATGTATCCAAGTCCAAGGGCCATCAAAATTTCAACGGAGTGTGCCGTCATCACTCACTCAACGTTGGCATCCCTCGCTCGCGTGAGTTTTTATTTCGATCATTTTGCAGTGGTAACAATGATTCAGTATGGCGTATATTAATTTCTTTGTTTATGTTGTTTCAACACTCTCAACAGAGATTTTAGTACTGTGTTCAGTTCGTGTTTGGTTTTCTAGTGGATTTTTATACGAAATGGAAGGATATTACAGAGTGAGTGAGGAACAAACATATATACAAACTTGCACAGCTAAATAATTCCCCTATTTTAGATAATAATTTTACAAACACCATTGGACAAACAGATGCAATAATAGTTTGGACATATTTAGCGGATACACAAGAATCTAATAATATAATAATATGAGGACTTGGAAGATGCATGAGCTTACATTACATATGAATCATAAATCTAT